CTCATTACTCCGTTGTGCTTCCAGCTCGTCCTCCCCTACCGGATCACCCCCTCACCTCCGCCCCGGCACCTTTATACCCACCCCGTTTCCGACCACTCACTTCCACTCATCGCATCCAGACCCCATACCCCAGCCTACCCTACACCTCCCCATACCCGCCCCATTAGAGGCAATATCTCCTCTCCACATCCACATCCACCCACAAACTGAGATCTGAATTGGAATCGTTCCTTAGAGACAAACTCCAATTAACACTGAGTATGGACAAAACCCATATTACCCATGTGTCGAAAGGAGTACCTTTCCTTGGCCACAACATCTTTCGAAGTATGCGGTGGCAACCTTACGGCTCGAAGAGCAGACGCTTCGCGTCTGAATCCCACGAAGGCGCGAAAGCGCGTAAGAATTTGACTGTCTTTGCGGATACCGCTAAATACATCAAAAGACTTCAAACCCAAGGTTTCCTCAAAGGGAATGAGCCACAACCATGTTTTGGATATATGCACTTTCCCTTTTCACCAACCAGCCTGCCAACGACAGACCCCTCTGCTCCAATCGTTTCCATCTATCTCTGGGTAGAGTAGTATCCGACACCGCCTATAGCTTGGAAAAAGAGAGTGTATACATCATTATATAATTTTTAAAAAAAAGAAAAAAAAAGCCAAGACTCTGTAGATCGACACCCCGTCGTCCCGTCCCCAAGTTCCCCCCTCCCACAAGCACCCCCCATTAGCATCTCCCCACAATACCTGCTCCTCACCTTCTCCATCTAAATCTACCTGCCCTGCCTGGCTCCCCCACACCTTCCCCCTGAATCAACCCAAACCGCCTCCTCACCAATTCCAGCCGCCCGCGACACACTCCATTAGCGAAACCTTCTTCCCCCAACCCGTCTGTCCCCCTCTACATAACCAGATTCTCCCTCCCTTTCGTCTCCCAATCTCACCCTGCGATCCAACCCAAATCTCCCCCGCCGCCCCCCCACAACCCCATTCTCATCACACCACTACTAACTACTAACCACTACTAGCGGGGAATCCCCCCACGAACTGCTCTTCTCACTCCATTAGCCACCAAATTTCGCCCTCTGCCAAAGTCGACCTCCTTGAGTAAGGCAACAGGGCACACTAGCTCTGTTGAGCCAGGAACAGTCAACAGTCAGAAACAGCCAAATGGCCTCACCGAATATTGGTCGCGAAGCGACCTCCTTTAAGCAGGTTGTCCAAAATGTCGTCTGCACGCCTCGAAGTATGCAAACAAACAAGGATCAAATGAAACTCATCGACAATGAAGCTCTCAAATTCCTGATCGAAAAGACAAAGGTCGAAGGAGTACCGGTCACAAAGAAAGTGATGAACGGTGAGAAAGAAGAGGAGGTGATTGTATGGAAATACCCTGACGACAAAGTTTGCAAACTGGATAATCTGCATGAAAAGCACACAGTGGTATTCAATTTTGCTCGCAATGGAGCAGACCTCATGCAGGCCGAGAAAAGGAAATGGATCATAGAAGCAATCAAGAAAGAGACGAAACTTAAGGATGTTGGGGAACTTTTCTCACTGCAAAACTTGGGACTCAACAACATTATGGTAATCTTCAACAAGGAACACCATGCTCAAAGTGCAGCGGATCTACAATCGAGAAACTGCAATGGTTCCGTATGCACGATAACGAAGTGGAAAAAGCAAACTGCGCAAAGACAGAATCCCACCTTTTCAGTTTCATACAAACAGACCCTCATGAAGGAACATTTATGAGTGCAATTCGATGGCATCCACCCAGGATTCCATGGCCTAGTGGTAGACAGACTAGAACGACAATATACAGCAAACAGAATCCTCAAGTGGATCCTGCCGACACCGAAATTCCTCGCTCCTCATTGTGGATCAATGACAGCTTTGTTGGAAGTCCACAAAGACGATCCCCCTATGTTTCCAGAGACCTGGGAATTGGAAATCGATAACAAAAGTCTGGAAATCAAAGTATCAACCAAATCTTCCCCAATTTGCTTCAGATGCTGAGCCCGTGGTCACCTAGGTACAGACCCAAATTGCCCAAAGCTTCCCAAACACTCGAAGGAGAGGAAACTCCACCCCAACATGCTTGTAGAAGTAGGGGATGCCCCGGGCACATGGTTCATCATCGACTGCAATTATGATGGTTGGGTGTTCGATGATAACCTTGACGACCTAGACTGGGTATGGCACTATGAATATCAAGAACCAACTGCTAAAAAACCCAACATTTTCCCTCTGGCAGACAACAGATGGCAGAAGAAAGCGACGGGGAGACTGACTGGGAACCCAACGAAGATCAACACAAACCCACTGATCGACTCTTGCTTGATCATAAAAGAGAAAGCGAGAGAAGATCTGTTGTGGGATCTGGATTCAGTTTGTGAACAGGCAGAAGAACAGTACAACAAAGAACCAACAACCTTGCGTGAGATGCTCAAGAGAAAGGAACAAGGGGCTCTCCAGGGCCTACCCAAACCGCAAGCTGACAATAAACGAACACTGGATGAAAATGACAAGCAAGGAAAGGAAGAAGTGGGTCTCAAGAGGGAAAAAACAATGGAATCAGGGAAAGAAATGAGAGAGGAACAACCTCCGACAAAAGGACAGAAGAGAGATAAAGATTCGGATTCCACGGAAAATGACGGCAAAGATAGCAAGGATAATGGGGAGACCATAGGGAGAACCTCAGGCAGTGGATTAGACAGTGAATTTGAATCCCAAAGATCGCTCCAATGGCTAAGGGAGTACATCGAGAAGGCGAAAAAGGACA